TCTTACATGACGAGGTTCCAGGCAGGCCCGCCCTTCTGCCATGCCGTCCAGCAGGAGCAGTGATGGTGGATGGGGAGAGGAGAGGGCAGCCTGAGAGAGCGCCAGCAGCAGCGTGAGTTGTAACAGGACAGACCCAGCCACTCCACCACACTGTCTCCACAGGACCCTGTTCTCCCCAGAAGACTTCTCCTCTCCCCTTATCTCAGGAATTCCTGCCCTTGCTGCCAGCCAGAAAAGAGAGGGACAGTTTGCGTATGATGGAGAGATCATTTATTTGAGAGCTTGACAATATGCCTGTGACAGGAAGCATGAAAGAGAGGGAGAGGAGGATGAATCTACACAGGTGTGTGTTCAGAGTGACAGGCTGAAGTCAGACAGGCTGTGTGTGTCCTGCTGCACATGAAGGACACACACAGGACACGGAGGACTAGGGGATTTCATCGGCTCATAGAGTAAACACTCCAGCCAAAGAAAATCAATCCCAGATTGAGGAGAGGATGCAGAAGTATGTGCGCCAAAGCTTCAGCAGACACGGGTAGACAAAAGAACGACTCTGTGCCATGGACGTGAAACTTAGTTTTTATTATTAATACTCAACACTTCATTTTGTTCATCATGTACAAAGAGAAAGAATAGTCTTATTTGAGCACTTATAATTGTAGATATCAGTGTTATCCTTATTAGAAGTACCTTAATAGTTTTGTTTTTGATATTTTGTCATGACATGTTTAATTTTGTTAATGAGATTACTTTGTTTCCATACAAAAAGGAAGGTAAATGTTTTCCCCAATATTCAGTATTTACACAACCTGTACAATTCTCTTTTTGTGTGGTTTTCTGTTTGTATGGTGTAAAAATGTTGATATTTCTTCAAAGACAGGGCCACAAAAGAGAAAAGAATGGCCAAGAATAAGATTATTTATATCATTCTGTATACAATTGGTATTATTCATATGTTACACTTTTGTCAACCCACAGTAAATTTTAATCAGGCTATGAATTTTCAGAGATGTTTTCATAAACCTGTTCACCTTGAGAAATACATTTAGTAGCAACCCCTTATGTCTTGACATCATTAACTCATCCAGGTAAAACGATCCAGTCTCTAGGTCTGAAAGGTGACGATGGAAAATACCAATATTAACCAACAAAACAAACTGTACTCAATATAATAACATCAATATAAAGCAATATTAATACACATATGTACACAGAAGCTTAAAATATTAGTAAACAAGTTGTGTGATGAATTAGGGACCTTCACAATAAATCAGTCATATTCACAGTATAATTCTTCCCATCTGCACGAGATGAAATCACACACATGACTCACTGATAACAATTAGCAGGTCCACTCAGTCGCATGAGTGTTAGAAACTAATAACCCTCCTCCCAACAAGCTTTTCCACCAGCCACCTTAGTGACCCTGCGACGGACCGCGGCCTGCTGTGATTTGGTCCCGTGTCAGGAGTCCTCACTGAGAAACGCACGCCAGCTGAGGTGATAGATACATCCTCCACCTTCAGGATGTTGCTCACGTGCCACAGCCATTCCCTGTGTTGTGAAGAAATGTGACACAGTGTTTTGCTCTACATGAACTGCTGGAACAAATGCGCCGTGGCATGAGCGTGCACAGAGAAGGGAGGCTGGGGGAAATAAAGACGTCTGATGGGCGCTGCCTGCCCTGCATCACTGTGGTCCTGCAGGGCCAAGCGGCTGGAGGTGGCGAAGGCCTGATCGGAGCATGTTTACCACAGTGTCGGGTGCCACTTGACTTCTCAGCCAGTAGCTGTAAACTGGCCCTGGCTACTGTCGCCTCCCAGCGCGTGGAGGAACAACAGGAACTGATGTATTGGCTCATAGGAGCATTTCCTGTTTGGTCATGCTGTTTATTGCAAATGAGGAGAGTAAATGTGGTGGCCTGTATGAAAAATATGCAAACCTGACAGAGTTTATGTGCACACAGATACATTTTTCACTTTTCCAATCAACCCTCTAGACACAAAACAGCAGAGAGATGAATTTCCTCTCTCAGCGGCGGGAGAAGCTTATAGAGGCTTATTGGAATCAGCATGGCACAAAAAGAAGAGCGGGAGAAATCATTTCTGACAAAACTGCACATGTACACAACAAGTGACAAATGATATTTCTCGTTTCATTGGGAGAAACGAGCAGTGCACAAAGTTGCACAAACTGGATTCGAATTCAAAGCATCTTTCATATTACGTGAGCTAACATATAGCAACAACAGTCGATTCCCCTGAAGCCAAACTCCAAACACGAGGAAACATGACAGAACAAATGTTTCACCTTTTAATAAGGGGTTGCACAAATGCATTTCAGCTTCAAATGGGTTCTCACTGAGTCGACGCTTTGCTCGTTCCTCAGCGCCGGGGAACCTCCAGTGTGTTGGTGTTTCTGTGTGTGCAGATGTAAATACGTATATTTCTTCCTTTACCACAGTGATGTTTATCCCAAACACAGAGAGGGAACGGGACAGGCCAGGCCCACGATGGCTCTGATGGCTTCTGTGTGCGATCACTGTGAGAGCCCAGGTCAAAAAGAAAGAAGGACAATGGGCAACAAAAACACAAAAACCTTGCCAGTTTTAACAAGGATTGCTGCTTAAAAATGATCACACTGTACTGCCTCTATATGCAAATATCATCTATGTATACCTCATACTGTATTACATAATGTGTAGATAATTGAATTCATCTCAAAAAGCATGAAGACTAGCTTACCTTAAAAAGATAGAATCTAACACAGCTCAAGGGAAACTTAGCCACAACTCCTAAAACTAAACTTCCCCTTTTATCACCAAACATCTACACCTACAGAAAATTAGCCTCAGTTTCCAACACTTTAGTCAAAAATAAGAAAAAGCATAATTAGTATAACATAATCAGTATACTGATTGGTAAACTATCATAATTAAGTAAACATGAACTTTAAAGGAAAACGGTTCAATTATATCACTTATGATTAGTAATATTCATGTCTCAACTATATTTTGCATATTTTTGTTTATGTATTTTTAGTTTTTATGCGTTTTTATTGTTTTATTTCTTAAACTGCTGCAAAACATATTGAAAGTTACATCCTGTCTGTCCGTTTACTGTACAAAGTGAAAAGACCTTTAAATAGATTATTTACAAGGAAAAGACTTATCGCCCTAATGCTGACACTGACTGATGCTCACTCCAAACGCCGTCTGCCGCTCCTGCTTATTCCCTCATCAATTCCCGTTTCCTGATAGCGGTCGACCTGAACTCTCAAAATATGTGCGTATAAAAATTCCAGAGATCCCAATCTGTTTATTAGCAGACCCATGTGTGGGGGTGGGTAGGTGTATCTGCTTGATTTAAGGCGAACTCGATCAGTCTCACGCTGACAGTGTTATCTGTGCAGCCAGGGAGGAGGAGGAGGAGGAGGAGAGGTGGTGGAGTTTATGAATAGTTAATCAGCAGGTTTGTGGGGGGGGGGGGGAGCTGTTATCATTCAGTGGTGAGTTTCTTACTGACACACACGCCCAGTGGTCTATTAAAGTGGTGCATTTAGATCAGGGTAAGATATAAGCCCGTCATGACAAGATCCCAGTCTATTCACTCCAGCAGCTCCAATTTCAGTGCAGTCCTCCTGCAGCCCTTGAACCTTTGACACCGCCAGCTAATCGAAGGTCAGACCTTTAAATGACTAATAGAAGCTTCTTTATTCTGTACAGTAATACGAGGAGTCATCGTCAGACACCTTGGGGTGTGGGGGGGATGATAAGGTGCCTGAACCTACACTGAACAACCAACGAGGCCTCTCCAGCTAAAAGGATGATCTACATCATTCAAAGATGGCCGCCGCTGTCAGTGTTTCAGACAGACCGTCGTCATGGGGCAACAACACTCCTCTGACACATTTTGTAGCATTTCGCCCACATAGACGACAGTGAATGTATTAATCCGACACAATGTCCAACAAAGCTTTCAGTCTGAGTACACGAGTGAATGCTAATGCCCTCTACATGATACTAGTAGGAGGCCGAAAAACGAAGTGCCCGGTGACCGCTGTTACGTAACCTGAATAAAAGGAGTAGTAAAGGCTGCCGTGTTGTGAACATCCCCGACGGCATCTCATGCCTGAACCATCAGTAGCAGCATCTCAAGCCTGCTGCAACTTTCCACTGAAGTTTTGGCTCATAAACATGAAGAGAACACCGAGCAGCCTAAAAGCATGCTGGTCCGTCCTGGTGCTGCGAACCGGAGGACACATCCCAGTGGAGACCGTTAAGGCACGTCCCTCCTCTCAGCTTCTCCAGCTTCTGACGAAACGTGTTGTTCACAGTAACACAAACTCAGATGGACAAAAACTGTATGTGTTCAAGTGTGTGTGTAATGTCCTGAAACATCGAGGTGTCGGCTCTAAACACGTCCTGGCCCTTAATAAATGTATGAGCATTGAGTAAAATACTCTAGAGAAAACCGAAAACAGGAGTTAAGGATTCAGTCTGTCTGGCTCGTTGGGTGAACTAAGAACAAGCTTCCTGCTGCCACCGGGGACAGGCAGGGTACGACTACAGGTAGTAAAACAGCAGTGGAGTAGTCACCGACAGAACATAACAAAGAGAAACTCGGTGATATCATAAGCAGTGTTGTTGTCATAGTCAGTACTAACAACGTTATCAGTATTATTGTTGTTCTTATACCCTGTTTTTTCTCTAAGAATATCTTATGATCATTCATGATTGTATTTCTCATAGCAAAGAAAATCGGCTCAGGGATGAAGAGGAGGAGCGAGGGGAGAGGAAGGAGAGGAGGGGAGAGAGGCGCCAGGCTGAGAGAGGAGCACCAGTCATATCCTGTGGTAAACGTGACAATGTCTCCGTTCTGCGGTGACACAGGGGCAGATGGGCAGTTCGCTCCTCTCCCCGCTCGCAGCGAAGCTTCTCACGGCGCCGTGAAATCGCACCAGGCTCACATGTCCAGTATAAGATGAGCTGTCGCCTCCTTGCGATAATAACCAAGTACACTGACTTCTGCCTCACCGGTGGATGAAATGATGGACTTGAGCCGAGAGCATCTGTTCGGCTGAGGGGGTGCGTACGGACACAAAAGTAGAGTAGCTTTGGCCAGTTCTGAGAGAGTGTGGGTAACCCCCTCCTCAGGGTGTCCTGATTTGTTACTGAGATATTCCTGAAAAATCAAGATTGTCTCCACTGTTCACTTAATCCTCCCTGACTTTCTATCTCACAGTTTCCTCTGTCTCTCTCGTCTCAGCTGTCCCCGTTTAAGCCTGGCTTGTGGACAGTGTCTTTACGATTGTCCCTGATCTCCTACCACTACACGCCTCTACTCATCACCTCCTTCTTCCTTGCCATCATCTGCCCACTCCTCCCCTTTTTCTCTCACACATCAGACTCAATGCTGGAGAGTTTCTCATACACATGGCCATTGCTTCCGTTGAAGGGACGTGGGGGGCCAACCCCCAGCATGGAGCCGTGGTGGTTCAGTCCACCGATGCTGAGCTCTTTTGAGAACCGGGGTGTCACGCTGGCCATCACTACGGGTGAGGCCGACGCCGACACATATGAAGTCGTGCTCATCTGGCTCCTGAAGTCACTTCGGCTGTTTTGCTGCTGTTGCTTTGTCATGTAATATTGTTTGGCTCCGTGCATCAGACACTGGTCATCGCCAAAGGTGGGTATAAAGGGGTTCTGGTTTACCCGGTCGGGGTAAAGAGATTTGGATAAGGAGAAGCCTGCTCCACCTCCTCCTTGCATCAAAGACCTATCTCTGTCTCTCATGTCTCTCTCTCCAAAGGAGCGGCGATGGAGGCCCTCTCCGCCCCTGAACAGGCCGAAGGGTGAGCCGTGACGCTCAAATATGTGTGAGAAAGGACTGCTACCCTCCATGTAGCGTTCTTTCTCCTTCAAGCTAACACTCCTGGGTGGGGGCAGCATCCCTCCCATACCTGCACCACCCATGCCTCCGCCTCCTCCTAGCCCCCCCATCAAACTTCCCATTCCACCTGACTCCTCCTTTTGAAGGTCAACAAACGCGTCATACGAGTGTTGCCGCCTCAGTTGTTTGCCAGATCCTCCACCCTTCCTCCTTTGCTGGACCTGAGATTGAGGGCCTGCGCCCATTCCTCCTCCCCCACCTCCCCCCATCTGTTCCAAGAGGTGGTTGTTGTCCTCGCTGATATCGTAGAGGTTCCCTGTTTTTTTACAGCTCTCACAGCGCATGCAGGTTGCAGAGCTGGGGCGGCTGTTTCCTCCACCTCCTGAGGATCCACAGCCATACCCACCACCGCCCCCACCTCCATGTATGGACATTTGCTTGCCTCCACCTCCTCCGCTAGCCCGGCAGTTTCTGCACTCCCACTCTCCCCCTGCCAACCCTGACCCTCCCCCACTTTTTGAATCAGCCTTTTTGGGCTTGCCCTTAAGAAAGTCCTCGACTGGAACTAAGGAGGTGCAGGCCCCCACTCCTCCATCTCTATTTCCAGGGCCCTCTGTCAGGTCCACATGTTCCCACTGAGGGACACCCTCTTTGGGCCGAAACTGGTCCAAATAAAAATCCCTAACACTCTCCTTTTCTCTGTAGAGATAGGAGTTGCCATCGTTGTTTCCTCCTCCACCTCCTCCTCCTCTCTTGCGTTCAGAGGGCAGAGGTGGTGGGGAGGCAGAGCGCTGGCTGTGGTAGTGGTGGTGGCTGATGTGGTAAGGTTTCCTCCTGTAGCCCAGCTCAATCTCATCCAGCTCCCGTCTGGACTTGGCAGAGGCCGGCCTCTTCTTCAGGCTATCACGATACTGTTTGCGCTTCTTGGCATTACCCTCCAGGTTTCCATAAGTTACCGTGTGAGTGGAAATGTCCGAGACATCGGAATGTATATTCCCATCCTCCTCTACTCTCCCTCCGCCGTAGCTATGCCCAGGGATGTAGGTGGAACTTGAAGCACCTCCCTTGAAGGAGAACTTCCCGTACACATCCGGCAGGCCTCCCTTGAAGCCCTGGGGTGCGGGAGGAGTCTGCCCAGACAGCAGGTCAAACTTGCTCATGTTCCTGTGGGTCAGTGCTGAACAGGGCTGGGTGGTGAAGATAGGCGCCACACCTCCTCCCAGGCTGTCACAGTCAAACATGCCGCCCTCCAGAGAACTAGCACTGCCCAGGCTTTGTGGCCTGTTGGGAGGAGGCCCACTGAGCCCGAGCGTCGAGCCGTGGTGGTGCAGGTAGTGGTCCTGGTACAGGTTACTGTCCTTCAAGTGGAGGTTGCCAAACGTCCTCTCCACCTCACCGATGTAGTCGCTGAACATGTTGTCTTCTGGTAGATAAGGCGCTTTGCAGTCTGAGTGGCCCGCCAAGCTGCGCCGGTGCTCAGAGATGTCATAAACAGATGACTCACGTCGGATGAAGTCCAGAGCGCTGTGTGGTGAGCCGTTCACCCCTGACAGGGAGGCCATGTTCTTAGCAGTGCGTAGCAGCCGCATAATGTTGGAATGGGTGTTGTTCATGGTAGCAGACGGGGAGTTCATCGCCGAGCTGCTTTTCTCCTCAATCTGCACCCCGTGGATACAGCTGTAGATGCCCTGTGTGAAGGAAACACAGGCAGGAGGCAGTGTTAGAGAGTGAACACTTGAAACCTATGGATAATGTAACTATTATCACTGCTTTCTAAGTTGACAAACACAGCGCATGCTTTTATGCTGAACTCTGACCTCTGCTTCGTAGAACATAGATGAGGTAAAGTGAGCGCAGCACTTTCAGTACCTTGTCCAATAAATGCAGTGCAGTATATACAAAGTGAAAACCAATTCACATGTACAGAAACATGTGGTGTATTAGCCAGCGTGTGAGCATCCACTTTCAGAGATGACAGTATGGTCGGCTGGCGGATGACTGATAAACGTAAAGCGGCTTTACAGACCTCTGAGTCTCGCTGGTCAATACCTTTAATCAACGTAATTAAAATTCAGCTGAACACTATCCTCCGGCATCAGTTCCACTACCCTTGATGCCACCGTCCGCAACACAATGGGAAGGAAAAAGGCCAAACCAAGGAGACACGAGCTGAGCCTTACAGTGGCAGAAAGATAAACTGCTCCATTTGCATTCACTGATGTATGATACGAAGTTCAGATGGAAACGGATGCAGAGAGGAGAGCTGGCCTGGCCTGGCGTGACAGATGGGGATGTACAGAATCAGATCAATTCCAAACAACAAGTTTACTCAGTTTTCCTGTAAAATGCAGGAGTGTTCCAGCAATGGTAGCTCAAAGGTTGGCTGAGCTTCAGAGGTCAGGGGTCACGTCGCCATCAAGCTATCCATTAATATCACTCGCCGGCTCTCAGCTGTCTGTTCTGGCCACTTGTTTGTGGCGGTTCATTAGCTATGTGGACAGCACCTGCATTGCAGCACAAAGGCCTTCATCCCTGGTTTATGCGTGTTTTTTTCAGTTTCCGTCTGTTAACAGTCAAGTAAAGTAAAGCTTGACAGTGGTGAAAACAGAAATACAACATGACTTAGCTTTCAAGAAAATTGGGATTTGGATGGGAACCTCGAAGCCGGGGATAAATGAATACATCCACCTGCAATAGCTCCGTTTTTTTGGTTTTGTTTTTTAAATTTTGAACCATTCTTCAGTATTTATCTGACCTTTTCATCCATATTGCTTTTCCATCTGCCTGTTTAGATCATTTTCATCACGTCATCTCATTTGTTTTTCTTCTTCTATTGTCCTGATCACACCCCACCTGCTGTTGAATCTGTCACCGAGCTTCCCTCCCATCATATCTCTGGCATCATCCCATCTTGGGCTGAATTTTCCAGCGGCATCCACCTTAATCTTGAGACGATCTTTCCCCATTAGGTTTTGACCTTTAGAGTGATGATTAGTAATGATGGCTGGAGCGAGAGCAGGACAAATGTGCACAGTTTTTCTCAGGTACACACCCACAGAGAGCCACGACGGGAAACGGCAAGTCAACGCTGTAGTGCATTAAATCTCGGCCATGTAACAAAGTGGTTGCTGCTTTGTATTCAGCAGAAGATTCTGTCTACTCCACATGCCCACATAATGTAACAGTTGGCAGATTGCTGCCGGCCGGTGCTGCACTAGCTGATTATTTGGGCAGGATGTGTGAATAGCAATAACTGCGGCCTGAGGGTTCCTAAGAAATTTCAATCCACCAAGAGATCACAGCAAAATCTATAAGTGATTACACTGGTACAGAGCGGCAGGAAACCAACAAATAACCAGCTGCCCCCTCGGTATGTGCGACTGCATATGGAGTGCCTACTGTAGCTCATAAAACACTTCCACTGCCTGTGTGCAATGTATGTGACTAAATGCGAGTGGTGGTGTGATGTGAGGCCGGCGAAGAGAGGGCTGATTAAGCCTCTAATGCATTTACAGTTCTGAAGTCATTAGAGGCTTTTTAAATCTATATAATTAATTAGAGTCAGTGTTGCAGGTGGGACCTGGAGGTGCAGGGAGCCAGGGGAGAGCCACTCAGAGCTGCCGAGCCCCACCGAGGGAGGGACCGCGAAACCGTGACCACGTGACCACGTGACCACGTGACCCACCCCAGCCAAGACAGATGTCTCATCTTTTCACTGTCGAGCTTAATGGGTTAATTGCTTCTCTTTATTTAACCAGGTAAAAAACCCATTGAGATCACGATCTCTTTTACAAGGGTGACCTGGCCAAGAGGTCAACAACACATGTCGTCAATACATAAGTTTCAATACAAATCAAAAACAATCAAAACCATAAATACAATAATCAACAATACAACCAATTTAAAAACACCTACACTGACCAATAGAGTCCTGTTGCCAAAGAGCCATAAGAGAATAAAAAGCTTTAACTGAGCATAATTCAGTAAGTTTAAAATCTGCTTGGAAACTATTCCACGAAGAGGGAGCGGCAAATCCAAAAGCCCATTTCCGTTTTTCGGTCCGAACTCTCGGCACCATGAGCTGATACTTATCACAAGACCGTAAGGCATATTTGGTATCCGATCTACGTAAAAGAGAGCATAAGTATGCCGGGGCTAGGCCTACCAAAGCCTTGTACACTAGCACCATCCAAGGAACATGTCTTCACATGCTCAGAGACGACCACTGTGCTTTAACAATTGCAGAAATAACAGTAAAGTTTATTGGATTGTGCTGTGAAATTAAAAAAGCGGAATCAATCTGAGTGGCACAGCAAGGAAGGGAAAAGATGAGGAAGAGACGGCCGAGGCTGGAGAGGAAACACTCGAGTTAACGAGGGGCAGACGATCGAGGATTGGATAACAAACGATTATTTCTGCTCTTGCCGTTTGGTGAAGCCTGAGCTCTGTGCTACAAATGCAAATGAACACTCTCATTGAATATCTCCCCTGAATATTTTAACATACTGAATCATCAGGCTGAGTCGGTGGACACACGGCGTTCACTGATGTTGTTACAGCGCAGCAAAGACAGAGGTAATTTCTGTAAATGAGAGCAATCACCGGATGTTATACAAAGCAAACTGCTCTTGAATCCAGCTCCCTTTCTAATGATAATGATACACTAATCAGAACGAGCCTGTCTGTGGAAATGAGAAGTCAGATCATATTAGTAACCAGTACATGATGCTCCTTCAATCCAAAGACACACAACAAGTGAGAGGTGAAGATGCTGTTTTCTTTTTCCTGGCCCCAGCAGCACAGCAGCTCGTGGGACTCTGCTGTAAATTAGCCACGTGGATTAGCCTGCAGTTGTTCACCTTCACAGGCACACAATGAATTACACCGTGCCACGTCACAATTGAAATGTAAATCAAACACCTCGGGGGTGACTTTGGCCTCCTGGGATCCAGTAATCTACCAGCTGCGGCTCTGTGGCTGATTTCTGTTGAGTGATATATTGATTTCAGCTCAGCATTTTGTAAATATGCACCGCATGGACATCAGGCCTGAGCATCGAAACAAGAGGAGAAGGCTCCCATCTCTTTATACCTTGGATGTGAGTGGTTTGTCATGTAGGACACATGCTCATTTACATCTATAGCATGTCTAAAGCTTTGAAGAATAAGGCACTTATTACACACAGAGGCTGCAGGGCCAAATATACCAGGAAAGTGGCTTAACATTTCAGTGACACAGAGGTAAACTGAAGACTTACAACCTATACTTAATAAAGGAAAACCAGCTTTGGCCCCTCAGCGATGACCAGATGACGACAGTTCAGGTAGCGGGAGCAAACATCCTAACACAGGATTTGTTCATCTGCTACACCGAGCTGCTGCATTTATACAACTACAGTGCCTTGCGAAAGCATTCGGCCCCCTTGAACTTTGCGACCTTTTGCCACATTTCAGGCTTCAAACATAAAGATATAAAACTGTAATTTTTTGTGAAGAATCAACAACAAGTGGGACACAATCATGAAGTGGAACGAAATTTATTGGATATTTCAAACTTTTTTAACAAATAAAAAACTGAATAATTGGGCGTGCAAAATTATTCAGCCCCTTTACTTTCAGTGCAGCAAACTCTCTCCAGAAGTTCAGTGAGGATCTCTGAATGATCCAATGTTGACCTAAATGACTAATGATGATAAATAGAATCCACCTGTGTGTAATCAAGTCTCCGTATAAATGCACCTGCACTGTGATAGTCTCAGAGGTCTGTTTAAAGCGCAGAGAGCATCATGAAGAACAAGGAACACACCAGGCAGGTCCGAGATACTGTTGTGGAGAAGTTTAAAGCCGGATTTGGATACAAAAAGATTTCCCAAGCTTTAAACATCCCAAGGAGCACTGTGCAAGCGATAATATTGAAATGGAAGGAGTATCAGACCACTGCAAATCTACCAAGACCTGGCCGTCCCTCTAAACTTTCAGCTCATACAAGGAGAAGACTGATCAGAGATGCAGCCAAGAGGCCCATGATCACTCTGGATGAACTGCAGAGATCTACAGCTGAGGTGGGAGACTCTGTCCATAGGACAACAATCAGTCGTATACTGCACAAATCTGGCCTTTATGGAAGAGTGGCAAGAAGAAAGCCATTTCTTAAAGATATCCATAAAAAGTGTCGTTTAAAGTTTGCCACAAGCCACCTGGGAGACACACCAAACATGTGGAAGAAGGTGCTCTGGTCAGATGAAACCAAAATCGAACTTTTTGGCAACAGTGCAAAACGTTATGTTTGGTGTAAAAGCAACACAGCTCATCACCCTGAACACACCATCCCCACTGTCAAACATGGTGGTGGCCGCCTCATGGTTTGGGCCTGCTTTTCTTCAGCAGGGACAGGGAAGATGGTTAAAATTGATGGGAAGATGGATGGAGCCAAATACAGGACCATTCTGGATGGAAACCTGATGGAGTCTGCAAAAGACCTGAGACTGGGATGGAGATTTGTCTTCCAACAAGACAATGATTCAAAACATAAAGCAAAATCTACAATGGAATGGTTCACAAATAAACATATCCAGGTGTTAGAATGGTCAAGTCAAAGTCCAGACCTGAATCCAATCGAGAATCTGTGGAAAGAACTGAAAGCTGCTGTTCACAAACGCTCTCCATCCAACCTCACTGAGCTCGAGCTGTTTTGCAAGGAGGCATGGGCAAAAATTTCAGTCTCTCGATGTGCAAAACTGATAGAGACATACCCCAAGTGACTTACAGCTGTAATCGCAGCAAAAGGTGGCGCTACAAAGTATTAACTTAAGGGGGCTGAATAATTTTGCACGGCCAATTTTTCAGTTTTTTATTTGTTACAAAAGTTTGAAATATCCAATAAATTTCGTTCCACTTCATGATTGTGTCCCACTTGTTGTTGATTCTTCACAAAAAATTACAGTTTTATATCTTTATGTTTGAAGCCTGAAATGTGGCAAAAGGTCGCAAAGTTCAAGGGGGCCGAATACTTTCGCAAGGCACTGTATCCACATGCTGTCACCTTTGGTGTTCTGGGAGACAGAATGTTACATGGAGGTTGCAGTTTATTTGCGTCAGACACAGCAGCATTTGGAAAGTGCAGCAGGTACCAAAGTGTGATACTACTGAGCTTATGCTTGAATTTGATGCTTGGAAACACAAGAATGGTGTGAAATGTGTCGTCTCCAGTTTGCTGCCTCTGTCTTCGCTGGTAATCTCCAACTGGGCTACCTTCTGATGACATGTATGACTTATTTATTCATTTGGAAAACATTTTGGATATCAGCTCATTCCTCACCCTGCTGATGGTGAAGATGAAGCCGGGCTGGCCAGAGCAGACACCCATGAAGCAGAAGCGCAGCTGCCAGTAGAACCAGTGCTCGCAGATGAAGGTGATGAGCGACAAAGCCATGGCAGCACCGAGCATGTAGAAGACTCCGGCCATGTTGTCCACGTCCAGCTGGCTGGACATCACCTCGTTCTTCTCGTGGTGGCAGATCCCCGTCAGCCAGAGTGACTCCAGCTCCTCCATCTCACCTGGACAGGAACGATGTAATGACAAAGGGCGGAGAGGAGGGATGGGAGAAACAGAAGACAGGGAGAGATGGAGGAGAGGGCAGGAGAAAGGGATGGAAAGCAAGGAAGCAGGGTGGAGGCCAGGAAGGAGGGAGATAAATGGATGGACAGAAGAAAAGAAAGGAGACGAGACAAAGGATGGAGCCCGATGCCAAGATGTAGGAAGTGAAGTTAGAAGTGAAATTCATCTCTAGGTTTCGCAGCTTCACAGCAGAAACACATACAGTATAGTGTGTCAGTGTGTATACAGTCTGCATATGTAGTAAAATGTGTGATTGTGTGGCTGTTTTGCATTTGAGGCTGGTCCCTGAGCTTCCGGTGTCTTTGTGGGTCACCTTCTCTTTCATTGGGAGCTGTTCTCTATCAGAGCCGACTGGGGCAGGACAGGCGTCGCTTAATTAATCACACATTGAGCGGCTGTCGCTGCACGTCAGCAGCACCAGGGCGCTGACTGGCCTCTGAGCATCAGCATGTAGCTCAGCAGCATACAAACTGGGAGAGGCATCACGTGCACAACCATACAGCAGCCTCCACTCATATCTGCTGAGAAACTGATGCTGTCACAGGACAGTGGTGCACGGCACTGGCGTTTGTGCGACAAAGGTGTAGTGATGAAACCGGTCGGGGTGTTTCTGAAGTAAGAAGGCTCCCGAGGGACGGGGTGACCTCCTCCTCAAAGCTGTGCTCTCTCTATTTTTAATCATTTTGTCAGCTACTGTACGTGGATTTTAGCATTTTATTAACCTTCTGTGTCACTTGTTGTTGTTAAGCACTTAGAACCTGTTTAGAAAAAGCTACACAAATAAAGTTATTCTTCTTCTTGTTATTATTATATTTGTTATGCCTTTTTTTCTCTTTAGCAAAATTTTTTTTTAAAGGAGGTCAAAAGTTCTCTGGAATCTTGCCGCTAAGAATGAAATATAGAAATCACCTTTTTCTCAGGATCTTATTTTATTATTATTTGTTATTTCTTGTCACATAATCTAATAAGTAAAAGTTTGACTTGGAGTCAAAGGTCAAGTAAAGTTTAACCAGGCCATTGTAGAATAATTTCATCACTGAAGCCTGCTGTGTCTGAAATGATGCAATAGGCCTTTCACTGGCTTCAAGGACTAAAGGTTATTAAACTCAGCTGAACGACTTGAAAACTCTCCATCTGACAGCTAATTAGAAAATCACCAGTCAAAAGTGCACTCTGTTTTTCACGGTGGCTCTTTCATTTGTGCTCAGGCCTGCTTCAAACTGCTCCCCTGCAGCCTTCACGCCCGGCCGCTGGGCTCTGCACGTGAGCCTGACCGCTTTCTAGGCCACCAGCAGGGGAGTGGACGGTGAGGCGTGGCAAAGTGACATTGAAATCCTGAGAGACGGGGCCGCTCGGTTTCCATATGGATGCTTGTGCAGTGGCACAGGAGGATGTTACTATATTCAAACACATGCACTTTTAAATAATAACAATTAAAACCAAGAAATCAGAAACAACGCACACAACTAACTGAACCGTATGTAGGTTGATCAAAATAAATAAAATCTCTGTCTTGCTAAGACACACCTCTCGCCTCCACGCACAAGCACTCGGATTTTCAGAGGCATGACCCATATTCACATGCACACACAAAGCCATGCACTTGTGCACACGCAGTGTTGAAATACACCGGGAGCTACAGTATGTTGGCACCGCTAACTGGGACACACTATAGTGGACCCCAGAGGGGGCCTGGATGCTCGCACCACGCTGGATCGTGCCCAGATACACTCGCTACAGCACACACACACACACACACACACACACACACACACACACACGTCACACTTCTATTACTTTTCCCATTCTGAGCTGGGTTGTATATCAGAACAGGACGTTGTGAAATGAGACTGTTGTTTGTGACACGTTGACTCGTTTATGATGAAGAGCTTTTGCTTGAAAACCATAAAACATGTACCACACGGGTCAGGAGCAGACCTTCTCAGCACATACTTATTTACATTAATATACATCTGACTTATTATTAACACAAAGGCCACTTGTCACATTCTGACGTCTGCTGTGCAGATCCACCGTAGTTTGGTGTGCACGCTCATGGTCTCCTGTGCACTGAGGGATTAGTACCATTAATTGAGGTGCACTCACTTTTGGCTTTGTCTCCAAGCAAAGCAGCATCCGTCATCTATTAACTTGTTTCAAAGTCGACCAACTGTCTGACTCCTCATGTTTCTCGCCTCGTCAGACTTTGTTTCGGTGTAGTCGCCACGCTCCCAGACATCAGCAGCTAACTGGGTAAGTACCACTGTACAATAATGCTAGTAACTGTTGGCAAAGTCATTAAAATAGAGAGCACCGTTGAACTAACTTGGGTTTGCTCTTTAATTACGCTGTGTTTCCTTCCCTGGTGAACTATAGTGTTATCTCAGTGACTGGTTGGTGCATCTTTAGGTGATTCAATAAACATCACATCAGAAGAACTGCATGCACGGCAGAGTCTCTGCCCACGGAATGCATTAAACTGTGCAGTATCTGTGAGACAGGGGAGGAAAGAGCAGTCTGTCTCACCGTCTCCAAAGAGCTGCAGGATGGCCAGGTCCACATGTCTCTTCCAGAGCGACTCCTTCTGGATGGCAATGCCATATCCAGAGGTGGCAAAGATGTAGCCGCTGCCGATGGTCACCAGCTTGCAGCCCTCGTCCCTGCCGGCCATGTAGTTCAGTACGGCTGCATCATAAATGAAGGCGTCTAGTTTTCTAATGAAAAAGAGAGGGAGAAGAAGCAAGACAGAGAGGTTACAATTAATTAGCACTAGGAGTCGGCCACCAGAGCTACAACATCTCAATTAACCTGCTAAATAGTACTAAGCTGCTGATAAGTGTAATAGACTTCCACTTGGTTTGCCAAAGGCTGGAGCTGGCACACAGACTGGTGAAAAGGCACACTCGATGAAAACTGAAGAGACGGAGTCAAAGAGTTCTTCAGCTACAATATGTTTTCATGAAGATTAATAGCACAGACACAAACAAGGGACTGCAGCACTGATCTTGTTTTTTATGTTTCACTCACACTTTACAGTAAAATATCGAGTTGGACCAGCTTACTATATAATGACCATCATTTGACCTGTCCTAGCTGTCCACCCCCACTCTGTCCCTTCAAAATCATTACAACTCAACATTCAGCTTTGAGGCAACACAATTAAAACTTACTTAGGAAACAGGTTGGAACATAATAAAGTACTGAATATGAGCCATTTACATGCCTGAAGCCAAGACCTTAACATGTACCTAAACACACTGTTCAGGACTCGGGCTTCAGATGTAAATGGGATCCTTTGACTCTTTTTGCTATGAAACTGCTTTCTGCCTGATTCCAAATTTGGTTTTAAACTGGTTTAAAAGTGAACCGCTTCGTTGTGCTGGTCCTCACCCGGCCTTGAGACTCTGCAAAGCCTCGTTGACATTTCTCTGATGGTACTTTGTCATGTAGGAGTGCATCTCTGGATAGTTGTTCCTAATGTTCCTCTCTGTGCTCCCGTTGGGGACGGTGCCGAACCGAAACGGAGGCGAGAAGTCGTTGGGATGCTGGAACTAAACAAAGAAGACAGAGCAGTTGAGAGAGAGGCATGTAAAAACATCTATGCTACAAATGAAGGGTGCAGGCGAGACAGAGATTAGAAACAAAACCCTCCATCATACCTTTTTGTCCGAGAGACCGGTGACCTGATCCACGTACTCCTCCTGGATCATGAAAGCAGCCAGGTTGGCAGTGTAGGAGGCCAGGAAGATGACAGCAAAGAAGGCCCACACTGACACCATGATCTTGCTGGTGGTGCCTTTTGGGTTCTGCACCGGCACAGAGTTGTTGAAGACCAGACCCCACAGCAGCCAGATGGCCTTACCAATGGTGAAGGATGGGCCGTGAGGCTCTGGAAGAAACACATCATGGTTAGAGGACAAACAGATGACAGGTTCTCGGTTTCTCGACCAGCGCATGGGACACACAGTTGGACTGCTTCTACTGGTCGGGCTCCAGCTGAGCAGGGATTTTGTTCAGTAGCAGAAACGAGAATGTGTCCTTTAATTCCTGCACCAGTCTGAGTCAGCTTCAGGAAGGTAACACGGGGACACAGTCCCACAGAAGCCAGTCTGGCATCTTTTAGTTTGAAGTAAGCAACTAAAAGTAAATCAGCCTAATTCAGCAGAAATCCTCCTCCATCGAGGTGATAATGTTCAGTTTGTAATCCCGTTGAACTGGACCATATTATATTTGACAAACCGTCAGTGATGCACTGGAAATGGGGCGGATAACAAATCTAAACACCTATGACAACACACATACTGTCATCTCCAAAATGATCCTACAGATGAACATACAAAACACTGTCACCTTCATGAAGGAGGGCTGGTTTGGAACCAGCACCTAAGTGCACACATGCAGCACATCACACGTGTGAGTGTCATTCATATATTAGTTTTTTTATTCAAGCTTCATTTTTAAACTTTTCATATAACCTTATTTCCCAGGTGGCAACAGACAAAGACATACAAACACTCAACAATATACAAAATCTTCAATGAGCCACAGAAACTATTAAAAAAAATAAACAAGAAGAAGAAGAATTATACACTTATGAATTAAAGCGTTGGCGGCAACACCACTGTTAATTTGAATTCCCTTTGTAAACTATTAGTCAGGAGCTGTGTTGATTAAATTCACACACGAGCTGACAGAAGCCTGGTTTGTTCCAGCCTTTGATTAGCAGGTGGTTCATAATGTGTGTGGGTATGTGTGAGTGTGTGTGCAAGCATGTGGGTGTGTATTGTTGAATGAGGCTGTCGTTTATGGACAAACCAGTCAGATTATGCCAAATATCTTCGTGAATCTCGCACGAATTAATCGGACAAAGACTTGACAAGTCTGCAGTCCGGCCACTGATACGATACTGAGTCCAAACTCTTCACTATACCAAACTCCCACCGCGTTACAAACAGACAAAACAAGGAGGCATGATGAAAAGAACGGTGCTTCAGGGAGGAGTACAGCTTCTCCGGGACATGAAGGATGAGAGGAATGGAAAAGAAGACAGCCATCATCTATATATAGCCGCATCAGAGATAGAGCTGTGGGAAGACATTGATTTTTGTGGTTCTTATCTTTTTGGCAGAGGAGATCCAACACCAACTTGCCCCCTGCTGACAGAGCCGCCATGTGATTCTGGGAAACATGGAAACGAATGCAAATGTGAAGGAAACACCCATGAAAGATAAAATAGAGAGCAGCAGGTAGGAGGAAGAGGAGGAGAATGAAGTCACTGGGTCAGCGCGGACGGCGGTTCCTATATGTGGAAGTGGCCCACAGCGTTTGTGCACAGCACCGACAATTCAAACAAGATGATCCACAATGTTTCTATGACAGACAGGAAGCAGCAACCTGTGCCTGCTTGTTTGGAGTAAATTATTAGTTGGAGAATTACTCATCGAACACTTTCTCTGGAGGACGAAATCACCCGCTGCCATGTTTTCATCCCTCTCTCAGTTTTGAAATTTGTGAAATTTTACACTTCGCCATAACCATAGCAGCGCTTTGAAGTGCTGGTGGTACAACATTCACACAAGACTTTCAGGACGGCTGCTAAACATCCTCCAGTTCTGAAGCTTTTCAGAGAATCTGACACCTGGAAAAGACCCAAAAATTAAACCTAAGAGGCAACTGAACGCTGCAGCGCTGGTTCTGGAGCCAACATTCACATGGGTTATGGCTACCAGTTAGTGCAAATGTTCAAAACCAGAAAGGGACAGAGTTATATTCCAGTTTGCTACTTTGTGTTGTGTAGCATTTGTGTTGACTTGCAGACCCACTAAGACATGATCACTTCTTATAAAAAGCCTACTGTACATACTTTTACTTTGCTTTGCCAAGTTTGTATTTAAATATCTCTAAACCTTTTTTAAATCAGATTTATCCTGTGACCCTTTGGACGGGTCTGACTCTTAGGTCAGAAACCAATGGACTCAAGCACCCAGCAGTGTCTAATATCCAGTGGACCCAGTTAGACCTGCCTCCACCTCCACAGCTCCATCTGCCAAATTAGTCTTGTGCATTGATGAGTCAGAATGAATCTATTAACATCAGATAATATGGGCCATTTTCAGAAAAATTTATTCTTTTACTTTTAACACTTTAAGTACATTTTCTTGATAATACGTCTAAATAATTAAGCAGGAGTTCAAATGAGGCACTTTTACATACTTGTATTTAAGGTTTTACTTCACTATTGCGCCCTGAAAAATTGCAGGAAGGAGGTCGAGGAGAGTGGCTGGAGCAGATGTGTGCAGATACATGAACACACACTGCAAACACTGTTGTGTAGATAAATGGAGTTCAGTTAGCATAATGCCACACAAAGCAGATTTACTACTGCAAAGTGTTCATTTTTAAATGAGGCGGTTGCAAAAGAGAGAAGATGAAATCAGCTACGCCTGGGATCTCTGACAAGCCCAACTTTATTTCCAAAGCAAAACACTACCTTAAGCACATGCTGCTAAATGCAGCGGGTGTGCCCTCCCATCTGCTGCGTTCTGAGCAACAAGAGTGAGAGACGAGGGAGGCAACAGGGCTAAAAGATACAAGAGAGACTGTCTGCATTTATTTACATCCACATTCTCACACAGTGGTGCATTTACCCCCTGTCCCCAGTGGACACAACGCCTGTGTCTGTGTGTGTGTGCTGAGGCCCCTCACCTTTGCCGTCAGCCAGACAGCGGTTGTAGCCCACAGGGCTGAAGTACTCGAATATAAACACAGCCATTGCTGACACCAGCAACAGCATCACGAACATCATCACCCACACATCGGCACTGAAGGGCTCTGGAGAGAGGGAAGAGAGGAGAGGGAGAGATGAGGGGAGACACAGGAGGGGATGTGGACAGAAAATAATGGGGGGGCAGTTGTGAGGAGGAAGAAGATGATGAAGAGACATGAAGAGAGAGGGAGGAAAAACAGTGAGGGCGGCAGCGGGAAAGAGAAAATGAAGCAAGAGAGGGAGTGGGCAAGAGAAATATGCAAATGTGCCAGATTGAGAAGTGGAAGGAAGAGTCAGAGTGATGGAGTAGGAGTGGGAAATGTAAGAGGGCAAAGAGGCAGAGAGCACAAGAGAACAAATAAACATTATCATTCACTCCGGCAGCACAAATGCATTAAGACTAATCACGCTTTGCGTCCATTGAACCACTTTTAGTTCAACTTTTAAAGGTGGAAAAATGGATGTCACCCTGAAGCGATCTGACAGAGCCATGAATACCGTCAGTGCACGAGGAGAGCCGGCTCGCACGTCGCACTAGCTGGGGGCTCTGAGTGACAACCAGATGAAATGAGCTAAATCAACAAAAGGACGTTGTACACATCCCCCTCTTGTGACCTTAGGTCATGGAGCCACTTTTTTGTAAAATGTGACAGAATAATAATAATAATAACTCGATGTACAAGCAGATGTACAAAGTCCGACCGACCAGGAAGAGGAAGCCGTTACTGAACAGAGCTTAAACAACTGTGGTAATAAGTGAGTGACATTTTTCCCCAGTACGCTGTAAAGATGATGAATCCTAAAAGGACTGAGTGCTGGAATAGCATTTATGTTTTATGACACCCTCAAAGCTGGAGTGCAATGTTCATAAAAATGTCAAAACATGGCCTTGAGGCTCTTCCCTCTACCCATCTCTGTCACCATCCCTCAACTGCTGACATCTGGCGCTGGGCTCCCCACCTAAAAAGGCCGAGGGTGAAACGGTGCCGTTGCTACGGGACACCATGACGCTGATGCCCGTCTCGATGAAGGGGACGGAAAAGTCGATGACCTCTGACCTCTCCTCGTTGATGGTCAAGGAGCCGACGGCCATGTGGGCGTTTTTTAACACCACCTAGGCAAGAGGTGGAAAAGGGGAAAAAACAACTTTCATTATCCATCTGTCATTTAAACATCTCATCCATCAACCTACTGAGGCTCCGTGAGCTAATGAACAGAGTAAAAATGGATCCTGAAACTTTCCCCAGCGGGAACATCTTGATGGCTGCAGGAAAGAAATAAACACAAACAGCATAACACCGCCATCAGCTCATTTGAAACTAATTTCCAAATGTGGGTGATTGTCTAAGAAATGTGATAATGGTAGATATCCTTACGGTGGAGTTTAAATTCCTAAGCCCATTAATCATAGCTGAAAACAGCTTTCTGTGACGCCCCTAATTTGTTCTTATTTCACTGGATGAATAAATAAATGTGACTGAGCCTCTGTGCTGCTCTATCAAGAGTAAATATTAGGTTATAGAGTTAGTGTCGGCCCTTATAATGCAGGAGCAGCACGTTTTATCTAGATGTGTCCCTGTACATGAATGTTTCACAATCACACACAGAGAGGTTGAAAACATCAACTCTTCTAACAATCACAATGAAATTCAGCATCACGTTGAGCAAAGAGGAAGATTTAGTGCCATCACAGCTCCTCCGTCCTCTCCATTAGGTGTACAGTGTAAAGCATGCAGGAGATTCATGAGCTCTCTCTGTTAGCTGTCAGAAACCTGACATAAGGGCAGATGGTTCACAGGAAATGGAGAATGAGTTGCAATGAGCAAAGAGAAATGCATGAGAACACTAGAGACAGAGACGGGGAGCAGCAGGTGGAGACGGGACGCCAACACACCGCGCTCGGAGTGGACACCGGGGGAGAGACGGCGGGAGAAAGTGGGTTACCACAGTGGGTCATGGCTGCTTGAAATAGTCGCCCCAGTGGCTCCGCTACCTGCCTCCCCACCTTCGCTACCTCTGCACAGGTTGTATATTTAGCCCCAAGTCTCCAGCCCAGCAGCACAGGGGTAAAGTGGGACAAGACTGTCTCCCTGAGTTAATAAGGACCGTGGACTCGCACAGTTGCACAGTATGCGCTTCAGTGTGTGCGTGTGCATAAGTGTGAGTCATAAAGGGCAAGCGAGGGAGAAGGGAGTGGACCTTTGTTCGCCACTTGTGAAAGCATGAGTTGCACATGAGCTGCAGTTTTCAAAGCGTTTGTCTGCGTGTGCATCTGCAGCTTTTCACTTTTGCTTGTGCACGTACAGTAACTATGGATGTGTGTGTCTGAATGTGTGAACGCATTCCTCGGGGAGGAGAACAGTCCATCCAGCAGCGTACTCACTTCCTGTCTCCCCACTCGCTCTCCATCTCCCTCCTACGACTTGTTCTCTTTGTGTTATGAAAGTGACCTGTGTGGGTGTTACTGAGAACGAGTGAGCGAGGATCTGCGTTTGTGTGTTTGTGTGTGTGTGCGTGACTCTGCTAGCAAGGCCCAACTCATGTAATCAATCTAATATTTTAGATTTGGAGAATTAGGGGCAGCCCATGAAATCTGACACTGATGCCAGAACTGAGTTCAGACCATCTCAAATGTCACTGATTGTTTTTTCTTTTTGGTCGTTTGTCTTTACAAACTGTGGTGCAGTGATCTCAGTGTGTTCATGAGCGTGCCGTGTGTGTGTGTGTGTGTGTGTGTGTGTGTGTGTCAGCATCAGTCAGGAGCTCGGCCCATTAAGAGTGTGTGATGCGCTGTAGCTCTGGCTGTGCTCCAGCTGAAGAGGACAGGATGGGTTTGTTGGAGTCAGCAGATGTGGCTGAACAACAGTGAAGCGTGTCAGAGATAAACTGACTTTACACATGCGTCCTGTCTCTGTACATACGCCTACTGGCTCCACGTGTTTGCATTCGTGCACGTTTTCCCTTAATCCTGTGATCATTCAGGCACACGTGTCTGCGTGTGAGACAGATGAATGGCCTCCTCCTTCCTCATAATGAGCACTCATCTGTGGAGGTGAGGAGGAGGAGGCCGATGGCGTTCATTACAGGTGAGCACACTTGCAGTTCGGCGTCCATTAAAACACCGGCTGACTGACAGAACGACTTAAATGGCTTTATATAACAGAATAAAATGCCACTTTAATGTAAGTTGACAAGGAACAGTTTTAATCTGGGGAACAAATGGACGCATGATCTTGTCTGTGAGCTGTGAAGCTTATTCAGATGTCAGCTGGACAGAGCGTGCCCCCGACCTGTGACCTCTGGGGCGCTGTCGACCTGTTTGCCATTTCCTTCATTAACAAATAACCAAAGTCAGTCAGCAGTAGTGCAGCTCAGTCTTACAAGCTGAGGTATGAGACGTTATAAGACCTTACCTTGGGACAAAAGTTGATTAGAGAATGTTTAAAGCCCAGAGTGCAGCTGACTGAGCGGCACACACCTCTGGGTGAGGCACTTAGCCCATCTAGGCCTGCTGGGCAGACGGCTGACCCAGAAAGCAAAGCTCATAATTCAAGGTACGAAGACCTTCAGTCAGCTCAGATGGAAGCCGAGTACCACGGAGTTTACTGGGCCCAGAGGGGCGAAGACAGAATGTAGCGCCGTCTCCCCTTTCACCTTTACTTCAGTGTCCTGATGTGATAAACCAAAACCCAGAATCACTGTGGCTGATGGCGGTTTACACAGCGGTTTGTGGCTCGCACTTCAGCTGCATTAACTAACTGCAAAAACTGGCCAATGTATAAAAACAGTAAAAAATAAATTACTACGTAACAAAAGGTTAAAAAATAAAGTCACTGTGATTTGGCTCAGGTCTAAGATGTTGTTAAAGGAGTACATTTATGGAATTGAAAATAAGTAGCAGTTTGTAGGTTTGAGAAATGTTTTAAAATAACTAATGCACAAAAATAAAAATGTCTAGTGAGAACAGCCTGTTTGCTTTAGCATAGCAGGAACCGTGTAAAGTTTTTCTTTTGACATCAGGAAGAGTCTTTTTGTCATTGTTGTCCCCTGTGATGGGGGCTAGTTTTCACCACGTCTGTGCACTAATGGCTGTTTTGTAATCGGAGCATGGCCGATCTGACCTGAAACAGAAGGGAGAAGTCCTTCTCCTTTCCTTGCCTGACATTTTGCCAAAGCAGACGGCCACCGCGTTCGCCCAAATGCCACCTTTAAAACACCGCCTCTTTCTCAGCGGGAACATCAATAATAATGAGGTGGTGTTGCAGAGTGTGAATAAGGTGCAATCTCGTGTGCAAGCGTTGCCAGCAAATTACAGATGAGACTGTTGTATAACGGACACATGCACGACCGAGACGAGCACAGAGAAGCAACTTTGCACTGACTGAACATTTACAGCAGCGTCACACGGCCGGTACGTTTCACACAGTTGCTGAAAAGAGTGGCTTATAAAAACACAGGGGGAACAGGAAGATGGACAGACAGACCGGCGTTACTGTGTCTCCTCACCTCTCCCACCATGCCGTTCCACGTTCCATTGATCTTCTTGCCGTGTTTGCCATTAGTGACCAGGTAAAGGTCGTAGGTGAACTTGACTGACTTGGCAATCTTCTTCAAGATGTCAATGCAGAAGCCCTTACAGCAGCGCTTGATGTAGATCCCTGACTCCCGCGTCTGATTCCTGCGCAGACAGACAGATGGACAGATGATTATTTAATCACAGACGTACTTGTGTCTGACGCTGGAATCGTGACCTGGCGTATCTGGCACCGTCACTCTCAGGCTGATGATGTGTGAACTGACTCTACCGTCGCTCTGTACAGCTGCCACAGGAGATTAACATCATTCACAAGCAAAATTATTCAGTGCCTAGATCTTTCTTCTCACTTCTGCTTGGTCAGTTCTATAGCAGGTAAATCTGTGAGTCACTGTGGCAGACGGACAAAAACCCAGTCCCTGTTAATGTGCTCTGCTGAAGTCACACTCAACACAAATCAGGGTTTTTGTCTTTCAACAATTCTTCTTTGTGGTTCTCTGGCATTTTACCCCAGATTCTGACACTGACTTCGTACATCTGAGCTTTGAGTCTCACACTGATTTGATCTGTTTCCGGCAAGGTACGGTGTTCCTCATACAGGTCCCGCTCAGCGGATCCACGTCTTCCACAATGACGAATGGAGCCTCCTCTAATGTCACGATGGACAGGTGGTCATCCTCCCTGGTCGCTGCCCCCCCGTACAGTTCATGGCGAGGCCACACATGGTACTTCATGGACAAGGAACCATTCTCCCATTTACCCACCTGCGGAAACACACAGTAAACAAAAATAACAACTTAGATTTTTATTCCTTCATTTTTTGCTTTTGAATTTCTGAGCAATAATGTTAACTATGCAAAAGCAAAGCGGGCCTGAATACTTTGAGGCGAGTGTACCAATAAATTATTGGGCATCGATAAAAATCTGAAATTCATTCACATTTAAATCCATTTTAAAAAACAAAGCTGTTTGTACGTCGTGCACAAACATCTCAGTGTAGGTTTTAGTGCCTCTGTTTTCTGGTTTAACGTGATTTGGCCATCTGTCAATAAAGAGGAGGAGGAGAGGAGAAGAGAGGGAGGTAAGGAAGGAGGGGAGGAGGGGAGGGGAGAGGGAGGAGAGGAAAGGAGGGGAGGAGGGGAGGGGAGGAGGGAGGGCGGGGTG